AATTAATTCATATCTTTCACATGCCAGCCTTGAGTATATTGTAACTCTGAAGATAGGAAGCACTCTGAAACATTGTGATTAGTTCTGATAAATAGGTAAATTATCCTACTTGAGAAGTACAGATTCTGCACTCCGTGCATCCACAGAAGTACTTCACCCAACAATGGAGAAATAGGTATAGCAGAGTCACTGAGATATATCCACAAATGCTATCACAATGTCATGATGACCTTCCAAAGATTGCCTGATAAATGTCACTTGTATTATAAAATGATGCTGCTAACATGGAAATCACACACCTTCTTGGACATGGTAGACCACCTGGATAGAGAACTGCTAGTATATGTCCCAAAATGCCCCATGAATGAACAACCTTCACAGCAAATGCATATAGGAAAAGTAACATCTGAATGATGATCCTCACAGACACATTTAACTTGCATATGGAATCATGTGTTGAAGGGTGGCAGGTTACCAAAGAAGTAGTCCAGGTGCCAAACTGCATTTAAGGGCTTCCTGCCCATGTTTATTCATCACTGTAGCATCAAACACAAAAAACAAAGAGTGTCCCACATAGGTCTGTGAGACCAGTTTGGTACACAATAAAAACTATTTTCCTCCTGGCTATTAAACTAGATAATTTGGGTCTGCATGCTGCTCCAGCACAACCTGCATGCACTCATTCTATCTAACATGGGGTGGTTATTGACTATTGAGCCTGAGGATTAAGCCGAAGCATTGGCTAATCCTTCGGCTCAATCGGCCGCTGGATCTCTCCTGTTTCAATCGAACCGAAGGGCTGCTGTATGGGCTTTTCACAATAGCCCGTATAGCAGGCGAAAGGATCAGCCGAACCGAACACATATGCTTTGGCTTGGCTGGGCTGAATTCACAGCCAAAGCAGGGAGAAAGGTTTGCTGAAGCAGACCGTTCTCCCCGCAAATGTAAACAACTCGGCGGAGCCAGCCATGATGTCACGGCTGGCTCTGGCCAGTTGTCATTCAATGACAGATCAGCGTCTTCAGGTCATTTGAGGACACAGTACTGTCACTGATTGACAACAGTTGGCAGAGCTAGTGCTGACATCACAGTTGGCTCCGCCCAGTTGTTATCATTCAATAACACCCAGCATCCTCAGGTTAATTGAGGACACTGGGCTGCCACTGAATGACAACTGGCCAGAGCCAGCCGTGACATCATGGCTGGCTCCGCCGAGTTGTTTACATTTGCGGACAAGGAGCAGCATTCTTTGTAAAGCTGGTCACACAGTCTGATTGGGTGCAGGCATTATTCAGGTGTTTTGACAGCCAGTGGGGCTGACTATCCTGAAGCTTGGCCCAGCGGGGGGTTCCTCCATCCACACAGTTTAGTGTAGATGGAGGAATCTGTTGCACTTTTTCCATCTGACCATAGAAAATCTGCAGATAATCTATAGGTGTATGGCCAGCTTAAAGGGGTTCTAAACCCTCCGTTTTTTTTTTTTGCTTACATCTACCGCTAGTATGCAGTAGATATAGGCAAGAAGTGTAAAAAAAAAACAAAAAACGCTTAAAATCATTTTATTCTTACCTCGTTATCTCTGCTCGCTCCCGCGCCGAGAATCAGGAACTGCTCGTACGGCCGCAAAGGATCTTGGGGCGGGCGCATGCGCAGTTCCGATTCCCGGCCGGGAGACGAGCAGAGACGCATGGTAAGTCTATGGACGCGTGCACCCGCATGCAGACGCCGCTGGATAGGAGGGACAGAGCAGTCAGCGCTGGATCGGAGGGACGTCTCACCGCTGGAGGGACACATGAAAACATGGGGAAAGAAGAGGAAGATCGGAAAAAGAGACATCATTTAAGGTAAGTGCTAACATTTACATGGGGGGAGGGGAATTTTTTTTTGCCTTTAATATCACTTTTGATTTCATCAGCATTTGAAATAGCTTAAAATCCTTTTTGACTTTAATATCACTTTAAAGGAGAACTATGAGGTGAGTGCTTTTCACTCACCTCATAGTTCTAGCCGACCTGTGACAATGAGACTGTCACGGGTCGGCTCAGTAGATCGGGAGGTGAGCGAACACATAGCGGCGTTTGCTCACCTCTCGATCCTGTCACGGCTCCCTGCCCCCTCCCCGCTCCGCCAGCACTGACTGGTGGAACGGACGGGGGAGGGGGCGGGTACAGCTGGCTCTGCCTTTAGATAGGCAGAGCCAGCTGTCAGTCACGCAGCTGGGCAGATCCCGGCACAATTGTCGGGATCCGTTTCAGCTGCGGCGTCTCTGCAGCTTGTGGTATACTGCAGCGTCTCAGTATACCGCGAGCTACAGCTCACGGTATACTGAGCCTATTGTGACGGGAGGACGCTAGTTTGTGTCCTCCCGTTGCCCTAAGGAGAACTATGGGGAAAAGCCTTAACCCCATAGTTCTCCTTTAAGACAATGCATCGATCAAAACCATTGGTTGGGATAAGATTACACTGTATGTATTGTCTTTAGGAGACCATTCACATCAGGGCGGTTGCGGATCAGCACGTTTACCGTTGATTTCAAAAGGGAGGTTTTGGGAGTTTTCAATTGCGTTTCAGCACTGATACGCAATTAAAAATGCCCAGAACTGGGCTGATCAGCACGGTTCCATTGAAAGCTGTATGGAAACCGCACTGATCAGCGCGGCAAAAATAGTGCAGGGAGCAGTTCGGGCAGGGGGGGCGAATTGGATCGCGCTTTGCCGCGCGGTCTCATGAACAGTCCCCATAGCAATGTATGGGGTAGTTCATGTCGGCGAATCTGTGTGAACAGGGCCTTAATGTGGAAAAAAAGGTATTCACTGACGCTTTGCACCATCCAATGGGGGACGTTTACTAAGACTGGAGCAGCTGTATATGACAACCAATCAGCTTCTAGCCAGGGGTGTCCCGAGGTTGGGTGTCACCCGGTCTCCAGACGGGATGACACCCTGCCGTATCGTCATTGCGCGTGACGTCAACTCGCACGTGCGCGATGAAGTCATCGCGCATATGCGGCCGTCTGATTGGTGCCTGCCGGCGGCCATCTTGGCGATGGGCACCGGCAGAGAGAGGACGGGACGTTCACTTGGTGGGATGAGGTATGCTGCCGGGTCCCCTCCTCTCTCCTGACACCGTCGGGCTCTCGGTCCATGACCGAGTGCCCGACTTTTTAGAGGGGGTGACACCAAAATGACAGTCAGTAATTTTGGTGTCCCCCGGTGCGGGCCGCAACCCCTCACCCCCCTTGTGACGCCACTGGTTCCAGCTTTCATGTTCAAAACTGAACAGACCAAACTGTAGCTAGAAGCTGATTAGTAACTCTGCACGGTTGTGGTAAATTCTCTATTTTTGTATACAGGAGACATTTCCACATCTGCAGCCATAAAGCAGAGCTGTTGCCATGTTTCGCTATTGATTTCATTTGAACCTGATAAACGAGGAGTCATAAATTCAGACAGCCCTTGAGCCACAGTTATAAAATAAGAAGGTAAAGAGAAAGGAGATGGAGTCACTGTTCAGTTTCATTTATTGAAGAATGAGAGCATTGCATCCTCCTTATGTGGGTGACCCC